AAGTGGAACCTCCCACTTCCAATCTGCTACCAGCATCAGCATCTCAGGCAACAGGAAGAGGCTTTGGGGAGGAGCTCTCATGTAATGCACCTGCATTAGCCATGGAAACCTGCCTCTTCTTACCTCCCTCAAAACCTTCATGCTTCTATACATCCTCTACTACAGCAAAACCAGACAACCGTCTGGAAACCTCTACCTGGGGTCACCCTACCAAGCGCCGTGACCACCAGCCAGGTGTTCTCACTGGCGCTAGTTACACGGCCACCAACTGATCATTATATAGCCTGCTTCTCGTCGACTCCGCACCTTACCGACAGATGTGACATCACTCGCAGACGGATATAAGCACCTTCTGGTGCCCCTTGAAAAAAAAGAAAGAAAGAAAGAAAGAAAGAAAGAAAGAAAGAAAGAAAGAAAGAAAGAAAGAAAGAAAGAAAGAGAGAGAGAGAGAGAGAGAGAGAGAGAGAGAGAGAGAGAGAGAGAGAGAGAGAGAGAGAGAGAGAGAGAGAGAGAGAGAGAGAGAGAGAGAGAGAAAGAGAGAGAGAGATATATAAAAAGCTTAAATTGCATTCACTGGAGAGGCAAACAGTTTAAGCTTTGCTAATCAAGATTTATTCCGTGTCACATTCACACTGCTACCCGTTGAGGGTGTGGACACAATGCGACCCAAATGTCTGAAGGTTAGAGCTACCCCCCCCCCTTTTTTGATGGTCATGCTTTCGAGAGAAGCAATATTCTTAAGGTCCTGAAAAACGTGACCGGCATCACACTCACTGATATTAGTCAGAAAGGGGATGATTTCGTGCTCTTCTTTTCAAGTGAGGAAGAGCTAGAAAAATTCATGACCAACTATGCCACACTTCGCAAGGAGCACCACCTACCTCCTCACTTCCCACGTCAGTTCCTGGCCGGAAGAACTATTTTTACCAGCAGGACCAGCCAGTGGATCGCTGACCGACCGCAACATAATATTATGGACAATATCGAGGACGAAAATCCGAACCTGGGTGTAGTCAACCTAGAGTTCTGTAACACCGACAAATCATCAGTGAAGGTTACCTTGAGGTGCTTCCGGGGCTTAAAGTCCCCATGGCCCGGTCGTTGACCAGGCCTCCCAATTGGGAGGTGAAGATTACTTTCACCGCCATAGCCGCGGCCACACAGGCTGCCACACAAGGTTTCTACTGTTTCGGCTTATAAATACCACCCACTAAGTAAAAAAGGAACTATACCATGAGATCCAACAATGCTTCAAGTGCTACGAGCTCTCCCACTCGACCAACAAGTGTCAGCACCCCGTTCAGAAGTGCACCCTGTGCGCACTGGACCATCACTACTTCATATGTAAGGCAACAGCTCATCGCTGCTTGCTCTGTGATGGCAATCACCCCGGAATTTCTTACCGCTGCCCCCGCAGACAGGAAAGCATCAAGGCCCAGGTTGAAGCATAGAGAAACAACCCTTCTACCTCCGCGACGAGAGCCCCACGCGTTCAACCCACCACCTCAGCTCCCACCAACCGACCAGAAAACTTTCCGGTCCTACCAAAAAGGGCTCCTCCCACCAGGCAACCCAGCCTTCACAATGAGAACTCAAGGCCCTACAGGCATCTTCACAGCCCCCTGCATCAAGTGCAGGCATTATCCCTGGTCTTATTAGCCTAGCGGAGAGGCGTACCGGACCAGACAATCACCGCTTGTCAGTGAACTAAACGCATTATACATAGCCAATGGCTGGCCCTCATCATAGCCCCTGGCGCAAGTCTCACTGCCTTTACTACCTCTCTGGAGACTACCACCAGGACGACCACGAGGTCGATTTCAACACAGACTCCAGATCTACCCATGACTCGGGCGGCACAAACAGAGGTATTTCCCTCTCCAACTTCCAACACTTCTACCATCACCATCTCAGCAGCCGCGCTAGCAGACGTGCTTTCTACAAATACTAACAACACCACCAACACTCCTGAAATACCATCTACACCAATCCACGACACCTGAGTCTACCACAGGCTGCAAGGCGAAAGACGAAAACACCACCTACGGATGTTACGGACTCCTCAAACGAGGAAATCTTAGTAAAAGCTCCACCACCACACCACAAATACGACACCTACTCGGTACAAGACCTCCTCATTGAGGCCACGTCATCAAACTCCAACGACAGCTCAGCTCAGGCAAAGAAAAAACGGAAGACCTAGAGGTCTACACTAACCCCAGCTCCATAACTGGTACAGCCAGGCCTCCAGGGCTGATGACTCACATCCATCTCCAGACCTTTAGTATCAGCCATTGATACAGATAATGACTCCAAAGAGCCTCCACTTACGGGCTCACCATAGCCCGTGCTACTTTGAACTTTATGTTCTGAGTACCTGAATCTAAAAGAAGAAGAACAACAACAACAACAACAACAAGCCCTGGAAGAGCAGACTATTACTAGTGATCCTGGGGTCTACACTTCACCTCCCTCACTCGCTGTGGTCCTGCTACGAAGCGTGACGGTGGACGTGTGATCTAGTGTAAATAGTAGAGTAAGTCACCCTTTTGTTTTTCAAGCAGAGTCAATTTTTCCATTTCTCGTGTCTGGATAAATATTTTGTTACGAATTATTTTGTTGTTATAATTGAGTTTACAGTAAAGTGTTTAATTGTTCATGTAAATTTGTTTATTCCTACATCTTTTCACACCGCAAAGGCTAAGCAGCTTTTATTTAACTGAAATAAAGCTTGTTTAACTTTTGTTTGGTTTTATGTGCTTAAGGGCAATTCCAGCTGCTCTGGTATTTGCTGCACTTCCGCATTATAACATCAAAACAAAAATACACATTTATTCACAGACGTCGAACGTAAAATATTGTTTAGATATTTTCCACGTATCGAACATTATAGCTACAACACTTCAAAATAAATTTTATCTGATCTGAGTTCATTGGGTAAAGGAACTGAATATTTAAGATAAGTTAAAATTATAAGATACGGTGTTTAGAGAAATTTACAATGCATTTATGCGTACATGTTTCTTAGAATATTATTATTTTCTAAATGAACAGTATAAATTATAATACCATGTAAGGAAAATTTATGTAATGAATTTTGGGGATTGTAATAATTATAATATTAGGTAACATTTTTACGTTTATGAACTTCACCTAATACTAATTACAAATTTTTCTTCAAAATTCACGAGACCAAGACTGTGCACTTGGTGGTGCACAGTCTGGGTCTGTGCACAGGTGGTGCACAGTCTGGGTCTGTGCACAGGTGGTGCACAGTATGAGTCTGTGCACAGGTGGTGCACAGTCTGGGTCTGTGCACAGGTGGTGCACAGTCTGGGTCTGTGCATAGGTGGTGCAGTCTTGCTCTAAAAGAAATCTCACAGAATTAATATATAATTGTAGTCATAGCAGAGGTTGAAGTATTTAATCATTCAAGTCTAAAGAACGATTAAAAACATCCATATTTTTAAGAGATAATGTTTGTCTGTTAGCTAGTCTTTCAGTGTGTGCAGGATTGGAAGCCAGATGCATGGGGTTAGCCTCCCCAAAATTTGCAGGATTTCTAGTTGGGGTTTTTGGGAAAGGGGGATGTCCAACAAAGGCGGGTAGGGTTTGGTCCCATTGCTTCCGTTAACGGAGGAACAGCTCCCATGGTAACTATAGAAAATCGGTGGAGGGAGGGAGGGAATTATCAGGGGAAAGCGCCAAACCATTACGACTATATAGCACTTGGAAGGGGTCAGGATAAGGATTCTGGATGGGATGGGGGTGGGGGAGGAATGGTGCCCAACCACTTGGACCTACCTCATCTTATGTATACCTTGTGATGGTTTCGGGGCTTAGCGTCCCCGCTGCCCGGTCATCGTCCTGGCCTCCTCGTTGCTGGACTGGTCAACCAGGCTGCTCGGTCGGGGATTGAACGCCGACCTGCATGAAATGAAGGAGTCGCTCTAGCGTCCATATCAAGTGGTTGGGCTCCCCCTTTCATCTTATTGGCGGAGATGAAAGAAGGTTATCCGAGTCTTTCTCATTTCCTAGAATAAGTATGATGGGGTGAGGTGAACCCCACGCTTATGTATCCTTATTTGTATGTATATTATGTACTGTGTGTATATTCCTGAAGATGTCACGTTGAATTAAAGTGGAAAGATTGTGACTTAGTGCTTCATCACCTTTCAGTGTGTATAAGGCATTTATATAGAATGGAAAATATAATTAGAAAATTAGCATAAACCTTTGATTTTTACTTTTTTTCTTTCTGACAAATTTTTGCTTAGTAAATTGCTCATTTTTTTTAGCATTGACGATAGAGTATTTTCTCCGCCAGGTGGTGCAGGAGGGCTACACCAGGTGGTGCAGGAGGGCTACACCAGGTGGTGCAGGAGGGCTACAACAGGTGGTGCAGGAAGGCTACAGCAGGTGGTGCAGGAGGGCTACACCAGGTGGTGCAGGAGGGCTACACCAGGTGGTGCAGGAGGGCTACACCAGGTGGTGCAGGAGGGCTACAGCAGGTGGTGCAGGAAGGCTACACCAGGTGGTGCAGGAGGGCTACACCAGGTGATGCAGGAGGGCTACACCAGGTGGTGCACGAGGGCTACAGCTGGTGGTGCAGGAGGGCTACACCAGGTGGTGCAGGAGGGCTACACCAGGTGGTGCAGGAGAGCTACACCAGGTGGTGCAGGAGGGCTACACCAGGTGGTGCAGGAGGGCTACACCAGGTGGTGCAGGAGGGCTACACCAGGTGGTGCAGGAGGGCTACACCAGGTGGTGCAGGAGGGCTACACCAGGTGGTGCAGGAGGGCTACACCAGGTGGTGCAGGAGGGCTACACCAGGTGGTGCAGGAGGGCTACAGCAGGTGGTGCAGGAGGGCTACACCAGGTGGTGCAGGAGGGCTACAGCAGGTGGTGCAGGAGGGCTACACCAGGTGGTGCAGGAGGGCTACACCAGGTGGTGCAGGAGGGCTACACCAGGTGGTGCAGGTGGGCTACACCAGGTGGTGCAGGAGGGCTACACCAGGTGGTGCAGGAGGGCTACACCAGGTGGTGCAGGAGGGCTACACCAGGTGGTGCAGGAGGGCTACACCAGGTGGTGCAGGAGGGCTACACCAGGTGGTGCAGGAAGGCTACAGCAGGTGGTGCAGGAAGGCTACAGCAGGTGGTGCAGGAGGGCTACAGCAGGTGGTGCAGGAGGGCTACAGCAGGTGGTGCAGGAGGGCTACACCAGGTGGTGCAGGAGGGTTACAGCAGGTGGTGCAGGAGGGCTACCATCGGCAGAGAAGAGAGAGCAAGAGCTGCTGCAGGACCAGTGTTGCAGAGGTCAGTGTTGCAGAAGGCGAGGACGTCATCATCCTCAGACTCCTTAGCCTCCGTCACTGTCTTACAGCCGCGACTGACAACATGTTTGGGCTTATCTGTCAGAAGGTTAAGAGAAAAATACACCTTTTCAATTTAATTGTGAGAGCAGCATTAAAATAGTTGTATATAATATTTTATACAATTAATCCGTTCTTTGTTTCTTGATGTAATATCAGTCACCATTGCCAGGCTTCAATGCAGCATCTTTAGTCTGCATGATGACTGATCACTCACTGATATTTCTACGTCCATGGCATCACCATCAACCTCTTTCACTTTATTGCATAACATGTGGTAAGATCAAGTGCAGACACCAGCTGTCGGGGTTCACCACCATAAGAGGGGCGAGTAACAGTATACTAAAGGTCACTCACCGTAGCCCTGCGGGTCTTCACTCTATCCTCGCGGCGCCACTGTACGCCAGGAGAGTATCCCAGTCAATCCCAACCGGCCTCTGATCGAAAAAGAGTGGGAACACAACTTGTTCTCTTAACTATTGTGTGCCCGCCCCGACACAGGGCTCTACTACTAATCACAAGGTCGCCAACTGGTGTTTCCTGTGTCCAGTAACACGTCAGTGGTTTCGTTGAATTGTGGTAGCAGTGGCAAGAACACACTCTATAGATCTGATATCAGGCAGGTATTTATTTCTATCACTTTATTTCCTTTCAGGTATTATATAGCCACAAGAAATATGGAGGGGATGATATAAACACCAAGGTATTTTGTATTTTACTTAAAACTCAAGACATCACAAGATTATATCAATAAGCAAACAACTGTTTCATGCGGAAGTCGCTCGTTCTCACAAATAATCATGAACTCGCCAAGCTGGCAATGCTCCCCCTCACGTCAATGTCAAAATCAGCTGGGCGACTCCCACCGCGCGAATGTTCGTTTATTTGTTTGTCTGGCGTGAGGCGCCTGATTCTTTAAATTCTCAAGGATCACTAAATGTTCAGACACACAATATTTGCGACAATAGCACGTAAATACTTCGCTGCACTGATCTTGAGCTCAATCAAACATTTCTATATTAATGGACACAATAATTCACTATGATGGTATAACACACTGCCCTTCATTTAATGATAACGTATGCAAGTATATATCACTGGAGTTCTCAGTAATTCCTTTCGTGGGCGAATATTCAATTAATCACTGCACACATGAATGGTTATTCAATTATTCAACACAAGCATCGACATATATATATATATATATATATATATATATATATATATATATATATATATATATATATATATATATATATATATATATATATATATATATATATATATATATATATATATATATATATATATATATATATATGTCGTACCTAGTAGCCAGAACGCACTTCTCAGCTGACTATGTGACTATGCAAGGCCCGATTTGCCTAATAAGCCAAGTTTTCCTGAATTAATATATTTTCTCTAATTTTTTTATTATGAAATGATAAAGCTAATTTTTTCATGATGTATGAGGTCAAATTTTTTTATTGGAGTTGAAATTAACGTAGATATATGACCGAACCTAACCAACCCTACCTAACCTAACCTAACCTATCTTTATAGGTTAGGTTAGGTTAGGTAGCCGAAAAAGTTAGGTTAGGTTAGGTTAGGTAGGTTAGGTAGTCGAAAAACAAAAAATTCATGAAAACTTGGCTTATTAGGCAAATTGGCCCTTGCATAGTAGGCTGAGAAGTGCGTTCTGGCTACTAGGTACGACATATATATATATAGATAAATCATAGATATCAATAATGGTAATAATATAGTTACTGGGCACTTAGCCTATCATCAAATACTGGCACATTTATATATATATTCTCTCACTAAATGATCATATTAAAGTCTCATGAAAGACATTATCAACACAGTAAATTCATCAATTCCTCTGGGTGCCTGCACACACCAATAATATTCATAAATACCGTGAGGACTCTATGCAGCCCCACTCTGCATCTTGTGCCTTACTGTGACATATGTGAGCCTTGCTAACGACATACAAAATACTCTGGCTAAATAATATAGCTGACTGAAGGGGAATTGGGAGGGAAACTAGAATCACCTACTTCCACCTATCCTCCAGTGAGAGTTGAGTTATAGCTCCTGGTCCAGGCTCCTGCCTCGTGTAGGGATCGCCCCCACACACACCCTGTCGTGTCCTCCAGAAACTCAATCAACGTCCCACCATAAACGCGTCGTCTCTGTGCCTTTCCACTGCAGGTCCGTGCTCCTCCACGACTTCTCGTAGGGTTGGAGTCGGTCTCCTGGCCGTCAACTTCTCCTCCCAGCTACGGCTGCCTGCCTACGTCTCGGCTGCAGTCGTTCGGATTCCTGATTTGTCTTCTTCACTGCTTCCCAGTAGATTGGCCCAGTCGCTACGTCGTCACTGTGAAGCTATCAGACGTCCCAGACGATACTGCCTAGACACCACCTGCACAGCACCCGATCCTGGAGCACTTGATGCTCAGTATTCCGTCAATTCCCTCTTCGGTCCACACATGGAATGAAGGAAGACCTCTGGCGTACTTGCAGACTACAGGTGACGCGTAAGATCCACGGGAGTGGCGTGTTACTGTCAGATTGACAGGATCAATCTTCACACATCCGACCACCTTGACTTGTCGTGTCAGACTGATGGCGCCGCCATGGCGCTCTGACCGTACCCCCTTCCTTCGTGACGTCATATTCGCCATGGGAGGTTTTCATTGGCTCCCTGTGCCACATCACTGTCGGTGACCAATCTGGTGCCACTGACGTCACACAGTTTTGGCGGCAAAACAGAGTAGCCAGCGCCATATTGGCTTCCTAAAGGGCCTAAACCAAAGGCCAAAATACTCTTCTTTTACAAATTTCTCGATACCTCGAGAACACTACACTCTCCCACATATATCAAACTGATGCCTGCGACGTAGAGAACGCTCGGGTAAAGTGGACATGACTCTTACAGCAGGCATGGGAGAAATATAAGGGGGGGAACACCGTCACATACCCCTCCCCTTAAAATAAGAGTCATGTCTAATTAGTGTATACGGGACAGGGCATCCGCAACCACGTTGTCCTTCCCCTTGATGTGCTTGATGTCCAGCCGGTACTCCTGCAGTAGCAACGCCCACCTCGTCAGATGTTGGTTGGAGTTCCTCATTTTGTACAAAAAAGTTAGAGGGTTGTGATCTGTGAACACCAGAACAGGTCTCGCTTCTCCTCCCACGTACACATCGAAGTGCTTCAGGGCCATAACTAGCGCCAATGCCTCTTTCTCAACGGTACTATAGGCCCGCTGGTATTTCACAAACTTCTTAGAGTAGAAAGCTACTGGCCTATGTACTTCACTTCTCTCTTGGGCCAACATGGCCCCTATCCCAACGTCGCTGGCGTCCACGTACAGGATGAATCTGGCTGAGAAATCTGGGGATATTAATACCGGGGCCTCCGTCAACAGTTTCTTGGTCTTCTCAAAAGACTCTTGGCAGGCCTCTCCCCATCTCCATCGCACATTCTTGGAGAGTAGCTCAGTCAGGGGATGCGCTACCGTTGAAAAATTCCTGCCGAACCCACGATAGTATCCTATCATCCCGAGATACCTTAACAACTCTTTACGCGTTCTTGGCACGGGGTATTCCTTAATGGCTGACACTTTGTGATCTACAGGGGTTACTTCTCCTTGGCCGATGATGAAGCCAAGGTACTCTAAGTGGGCCTTCCCAAACTCGCTCTTGGCTAAATTTACAGTCAAGTTAGCCTCCTCTAGCCTTCTAAACAATTCCTTGAGTCTCTCCAGGTGCGTCTTCCAATCGTCGGCGTACACGACGATGTCATCGATGCATACTGTGCAGCCTTCGGCCCCCCTTAGCAACTCATTCATCATGCGCTGGAAACAGCTACCACTGTTTTTCATTCCAAAGGGTAACATCTTGTATTGGTACAGCCCGTCAGGAGTTGCGAAAGCTGATATTTTCCTGGCCTCAGGAGTCAAAGAGATCTGGTAGTACCCCTTGAGCAGATCGACCTTGGATACGTACCTTGCACTGCCCACCTGGTCGATGCAATCGCTCACTCTTGGCATGGGGTAAGAATCTGCCACTGTGATGGAGTTCACCTTTCTGTAGTCTGTACAAAAGCGGAAGGTACCATTGTTTTTCTTCACTAACAAGCATGGGGAACTCCACTCACTTTTACTGGGCTCCGCAAGGTCGTTCTCAAGGAGATACTCCACCTCCTTCCTCATCAGCTCTCACTTCTCCGGGCTCACCCTATACGCGCTCTGCTTGACGGACCTGGCGTCCCTCACCTCCACCTCGTGCGTTACACTCTTGTGTCGTCGGGGCACGTCGGTAAAGAGAGAGGCATTCTCCCTCAGTAGGTTCGTCAGGTCCGCGCTCTGTTGCCCTTCCAGTTGTAGTAGCTTGTCCTCGATTTTCGCCAGACTCTCCGTATTGGTGAGACGGGTGCCGTCCGCCCTGGACCACTTTCCTTCCTCCTCTGGAAGTTCCTGGTCCACCTGCATGCACAAAATCGTCTTCTGCTGGGGGTCTCGGGTCACCGTCCCGTCCTGCATGGCGGCTCTTCCTTTCTCAGGGAAGAAAGGCTTCAGGCGGTCTACATGACACACCTGTTTCTTACGGGGTCTATCCGGATTCCCAATTTCATACGATACAGGACCCAACCGCCGTAGCACCTGGTATGGTCCCTCGAACCGCGACTCAGTCACTCTACTCTTACCTGGCAGAAATACCATCACCTGGGACCCAACCGCCGTAGCACCTGGTATGGTCCCTCGAACCGCGACTCAGTCACTCTACTCTTACCCGGCAGCAATGCCATCACCTGGGACCCAACCTGGAACTCCCTCGGCGTAGCTCTCTTGTCGTACCATTCCGACATCTTACGCTGCGCCTCCTTCAGATGTTTCCCAGCTAGTTCCTTTACTAGAGTGAGACGCTCCTTGAACTTTTGAACATATTCATTGACCGTTCCCACGGTCACTCCCGGTGTCCATTGTTCCTTCAGCATGGACAGAGGACTTCGCACCTCGTGTCCATACA